ATTTTTAGTTGTCTGATTAATTTCTTTCTATTTTTAGTAGAGACGGGGGTCTCGCTCTTGCTCAGGCTGGTTTCGAACTCCTGAGCTCAAACAATTACCCGCCTCGGCCTCCCAGAGAGCTAGGATTACAGGCGTGAGCCGCCGCGCCCGGCCGTAGTTTCCTGCATCTCTTGCCCCAGTTCTGACCCAAGGACGTATTTCTAGACCCCAGGGATTTTTGCAGCACAGAAATGATCGTGGCGAGGATATATCTGCATACCCAGCCTGGGTCCTACTGTATGTGGAGCAGGGAGGCTGGCAGGTGGCACTGGTGCCCCCTGGGGAGCCTGGGGGACTGTGAGTGGCTGGTTCAACTCCGGCCGAAGCTTGGCCTGGTGGCCCTGGTGGCCCTGGTGGCCCCGGATCTTCCAATTTTTCAAAAACAGGTAGAAATACTGCTTTTCTTTGTTTTAAAATATCTGCTGATTTTTAAATGTTAGCAACTAGTTACAAATACTTTTTTAAATTGCCATTTGAGCCAAGCCGTGCTGGCACGGACCTCTGACTGAAATGCTGACCCCACACCCTGGATCTAGAGTGTCCCTCCCCAGCAAGGGCCCTGTCACACCGTTGCCCTTCTCCGGCTCCCCACAGCTCGTGGCCCGTGCCCAGCCAGGGCAGTGGGAGTGAGGGGACACCCCCCACCTGGATCTCCTGAGGGAGGGCGTCGCTGGTACTGGCCAGGAGATCAGGGAGATGGCGGGGAAGGGCAGTGACGCAGACAGCTGGAGCGCTCGCCAGCCCCGCAGGGCGGAGGCCAGGCCGGCCAGCGCCATCTGGCCCGTGCTGTAGGTGCATCGCAGCAGGGTCAGGGTGACATCTCTCCCGCGGGTCGCGGTCCACTCCACCACTGAAGGCGATGCAGACATGCGCAAGCGAGGCCCCTGTGGGGCTGGGACCCCTCCTCTCCGGCCCCCGTGGCAGGAGCAGGCTAGCCGAGGACTCGCTCAGCGTTACCGAAGGCAGTATGATGCCAGCCGCTCCAAAAGCAGCCAAATCCGCAGGCCACCGTAGGTAGACGAGGAAGGTCGGGGCACAGTCACGGCCACCCGCCGGCAGCTGCAGCTCAGCTTCCGCCCAACCTGTCGCAGGAGACAAGCATGTGGGACCTGGAGAGGGGCCCCTGGGCACTGGCACGTGCAGGGAGGCGCTTGCCTTCTGGGGGTCCAGCAAAGCTGGGGTCCTGGTGCAGACAGCTCCTCCTCCTCCAGGCTTCCAGGAGGACGTGCGAGTGTTCGGTGCGAGAACAGCAGGTGCCGCTCTCAGGCGCAGTGCAGCCTCGTGGTCGAGAATGCAGGCTTTGGCATCAGACTCCTGGGCTTGAGTCTAGCTCTGCTCTGCCTGGGTGACCCTGGGCGCGTGACTCAACGTCTCTGAGCCTCAGTTTCCCCGCCTGTCACATGGGGGTATTCATCATGACGTGCCTCATAGGGTTATTGCGAAAATCGAGACGTGAGCAACGGCAGGGTGGCGGGCGGGCCAAGTGCACGTGACCCTGGACAAGGGAGCCCACTCCTCACCTCGCACGGCGGCAGGGCGTCTCCTGAGATGCATGTGGAGCCCATGGCCGCCCCAACCCGTGCCCTGTGGCCTCCAGGCCGGCTGAGCCCGAAGCAGCCTACATTCAGTGCAGCTGAAGTTGGTATCGGTCAGAGCAGCGACGTGGGCAGATGCTGGCCTTGCCTGGGTGACAGAGCCCGAGCCGCAAGGGGCCGGCTCCAAGCGCAGGGCTGCCCCCAGCACAAGTGGGGGAGCACATCGGGTGTGGCGTCGCCTGAGCAAGGGCAGGAGAGGGCCCCCCCATCCACGGCTTCGGCTTTCTCAGAGTAAGTGAGACACGCGTCAGCTGAGAGTGAGGGACGGCAGCGGCTGGTATCTTTAGAGGGATGAGAATGTCCCAACCTGGCTGCCAAGACCATGGCCCCAGCCTTTGTCCACCCCTCCAGGCCCGTGTGACCTCTGAGATGTCATTTGTCCCCTGACTGCACATGCCTGACACCCTCTCGTCTCCTCCCCTCTCTCTGCGTAGTCCTGTCTGGGCTACCCTTTAGGTCTCTGCTCAGACGTCACTTCCTCCAGGCAGCCCTCCCACACACCCCCAGGTTGCTCTAGCCCTACCCCAGTCCCTGCAGCCCTGTTATTTCTATTTTGTAGCACGTCGTGTGCCTGGAGTTAAAACAAAGAGGGTCTGTCCCTCCTGGAGACTGCCAGCTCCCTGAGGGCGGGGGCTGCACAGTGTCTGCATACAGTTGGTGCTCACGAAGCACGGTGCAATGGCTGCAGGTTGATGACTCACTGCACAGCCTAACTTGGCATGAGGTTCAGAGCCAGGTTCTTGGGAGTCTCTGTCCTCTGGGGCCTGGCGATTGGCGCCAGACCCTGGAGCCCTCTCTCAGGGGACGCTGATGTCCACCTGGCGTTTTCGTACCTTCTCCCCACACCTGTGATTCTGTGCTGAGGGAGCCAGCAGGGGAGGAGACACCCACCGGTGGGAGAGGAGACTCCAGGCGAAGCTTCCACCAGGACCCGGCCATGGAGACGGCCTGCGCCAGCGGCTTCGGGCCCTGGGAGCCGCACACCAGGGCCCACTGCAAGAGACGGGGGCGCGACAGCCCGGCTCAGTGGATGTGGAATAGCGGGCCTGGCATGGCTGAGGGACCCCTGGCCCGCCCGAGTCCTTGGGCCCACCACTCACAGGGGGTCGCTAGACTCCTAGTGCCACACAGGAGGAAGAGCTCTGCCACCAGCAGGGCCTCAACGCTCCACTAGAAGCCCGGCCGCAGGACAGAATGTGACAGGGCCCCGGGTCCAGCCGTGTGACGGCCACTCCTCATGGGGTCTGGTTGTCCAGTCGTGCAGATGGCAGGCTCTGATGAGCAGGGCAGCCTCGAAGGAGCAGAAGGGGGAGGAAAATTAACGATTTTTTTGTAGAAAGAAGTTTGGCAGGCAGCGTCTGGCGGTGGCAGGGAGTGGCTGGCAGAGGTTAAACCCCAGGCTTGACTTCTGCCTCGGCTGGGTGCTGGCTGGTCACGCTCACCTGAGTCACTGCCGCTGGCTGGGCCACCCTCTCCTGTAGAGACGAGCCCATGACGCCCCTGTCCTCGGGCTGTGAGGATGACTACAGAAGGCTCAGCACGGTTCACCGCGATTTTTGCAGTGGCTCCAGCCCAGGCCCGGGCATCCGTCGTCTGAGCACCCCTGTACCCTCCTCCCCAGCCCACACCCAGATCAGTCCCTCGCTGAGGCCCGACAGCACCACGCACCTCTGTCCATTCCGCCTCTCGCCTGGGCGACTGCAGGAGCCTCCAGCGAGTCCTGCCCCTTCTCCACCCTGTGAAGTGACCTCTTGAAAATGCAAATCGGACTCATCTCTTCCCTGCTCCAAACCCCCCGTAACGTTTCCTGTGCACTTAAAAGAAAACCCCAGCTCCTCACCTGGCCACAAGGACATCGAGTTCGGTCCCACCCACCTTCCAGCCCTGCCCTGCCTGTGCCCTGGTGCCCTGGGCCTTGCTCTGCTCCTCCCAGCCCCAGACTCTCCTGCTGCACCCCTTGTCCTGGCCGGCTCTCCTGACCGAGTGACCGACTCTTTCTCTCACCATCCAAGTCTCACCTTCCATGTCGCCTCTTCGGAGAGGCCTTCCCGGCCACCCTGCCTGAAGGTGCCTGCCTCTCCCTCCCACTAGCAGGGCTTGCTTTTTCCTTCATGCTACTTCTGTATGACACAGGTTGCTGCCCTGGCTGCCCGGGTCGAATCAGATCCCAGTGCACTTTAGCTGTGTGTCCCAGGACAAGTTACTTAACCTCTCTGTGCAGCTGCAAAGGCAAGACCCAGCACCACCAAGACCTTCCACCCTCCCTCGCTTTGACCGGGTTAGGGTGGGGCGGCTGTCCAATAACTGGTTGAATCAGTCCCAAGGTGTCAGGTGTCCTGAGATGCCCCAAGGGAACTCCTCCTTGTCCAATGTCTGCAGTGACCACCAGGGGATCCTCACGGGGCATCAGGGGACAGAGTTCACTGTGCCCAGACTGCCCACCACGTCCGGACCGGGGAGGGCTGAGCTGCCTTCTGGGTTCTCCAGCGCTCAAAGTGAAAAGCTGAGCAGATTATTTAAAAAAAAAAAAGACATAATGCCGTGATGTTGCGAATTACAGTTGTGGAAGAAACAGTGGTCGCCTCATTGTGTTGGTTGAAGTTTAATCTCAGCGTGGCTTCTGGGTGAGAAAGGCAGGCTCGAGTGTCGCCCGAGGCCTCAGCAACTCCCCGCTGGTGCTGATCTCATTCTTAAACCTTAAATCTTTAGAACCTTTATGTGGGGCCCTTTAAATCGGGAAACCGTTGGCCTCACCTAAACCCATCCTGACAATCAGTTCAAGCCGGGGGTGAGGCCTGGGACGGCCTTGCCCTGCTGGGCAGGGGGTGGCGGTGCGCGGGCTGGGCGCGAGCTGGCGGGAGGACCCAAGCCTGTGCTCTTTTCCATCCCGAACCGCGCCTCCCACTAGGCAGTGCCAGGGAGACCGGCTTGCAGACGCGCTATTTCGGGAAGCTTCTATTCCAAGGTTTTAGGTTGCCTTTAATAGACGGTGAGCTCCCTCAGTGTGGAAACCATGGCTACCACTTCCTGGCATCGCTTAGAAGCCCCTCATGGGCTCGGAGCTGGGGAATTGAGCAAAATCATACCTCTGTGACCCAGGGTCTGAGGCCACGGTGGGGAGGAGTGAAGCCGTCCCCGCCCCAGCACCCACTTGGGCAATGCCTCCTAGTGCCGGCTGCTCCTGCCCCCGAGGGCTTGCTGCGTGCTGCAGCCACGCTGCCTGTGCCCTCGCATTCACTCCTCATACCAGCCCAGGAGAGAAACGGTGCTAATTCCCTTAAACGAGGGAACTGAGGCTCAGAGAGGGCCGGCAGCTTGCCCAAGGTCACACAGCGGAGTCCGGATTCGAGCCAGACACCAGAGCCCGAGCTCTCTTCGATGTCCCTGGGCAGCTGCTGCATGGCCCAGCCCGTCGTGGACCAAAGCCCAGCTGAAAGCTGAAATTCAGGATTTGGGTCAGAATTAGGGTCAGCCTGAAGTCACTGCCCAGAGTGTGAGAGGGAAGCGGCTGAGTCAGTTCCGGAGAGAAGTCTGAGAAGTGCTGGAAGCGTGGGTGGGGTGTGGGTCGGTGTCTGGACCCCGAACTTCCGAGAATGTCCCAGGGGGCCCCGCCAAGATGGCGGGCAGCCAGGACGCCGGGACGCAGGATTCCGGGCCGGATCTCCAAGCCCAGGCTCCTTCCTGACTCTGCCTCTCCAGGCAGGAACTCATGAATTTTAAAATAGCAAATAGAGATTGGGGGTGGGGGAAGAACCAACCCAAACTAAAGCATAGGAGGCAGCAAAAGGGGCTGGCTGGGCACAGCTCCGCCCCAGACAGCCCAAAGGCTGAATCTTACATGCAAAGAATTATACTTCATTCCCTTGTCGTGCAACCACCCTCCTAACAGGGGCAGGCCTGGACCTCAGAGGCAGTGGCCTCCCCCTCCTGGCCCCTGGTTCCTGGTCTGTGAATTGAAGAGTTGCTATGTTGGTGTTTGCAGACCTCAACATGTATCGGAAACCATAGGAGTGACGGCTAAAATGCAGTTTCTGGGGCTCCTGCCACCGGGAGAGGCTGGGCCCAGGAATGTACATTTGAAAATGAGCCCCCAGGTGATTCTGCTGACCGGGCCCCAGGCCTCGCTAGAGGTGGCTGCTGAAATACAGGGTGTCCAGGAAGAAATTCATTTCTCTTTCTCTTTCGTCCTTCCATATGCTTTAAAATGTTTTTTCTTCTTCCCTGCCCTTTGCCTGTTATGGACACCCCAGGCTTTGCTCACAGCAGAAGGTCAAACCTCCCGGATTTGCCAGAAGGCTCCCGGAATCTCCAACTGACTTTCCTCTTCCAGGCCAAGGAATTTTTAATGGGTATTTTCTGTTTTTCTGGGGCTGCTGGGGGCAGGGCTCGGTGCAGCTGCTCTGCCACCTGGTGGTCACACCTGGGAGCGCAGCATGTCCAGAAGCAGGCACGACCCTGCCTGGGGCCTATTCGCCAAGGGTACCCAGGCGCACATGGGGTGAGGGGGGGATTGGGGAGGAATGTAGGCAGCCCCAGATTATAGCTGCCAAGCCCTCTGGGGTGTTTCATTAAATTAACTCATTAATTACACCTCTGTTGAGAATTAACAGAGGGGTAAAGTGAACCTCCGTTACTCGTAGAATCAGAATTGCCTTTGGAGTGGACTTTCCTGGCCAAGGGCTCCCATCAGTTAACAGTCTCATGCTGTACCGACTGAGCTGGCCAGGGGCCCGTCAATTAAACCAAAGGCCGATGGCTGCCAAATGACCTTAGGCAGTTCACTTCCCTTCTCTGAACTTCAGTGTCCTCATCTCTATGATAGGGCCTTCCATTTAAGGTAGTAAGATTAAATGAGATAATGAATGAGCCTGACAATAAATATTAGCCGCCACCACCACCACCATCATCATCACCACCACCATCATCATCACCACCACCATCATCATCACCATCATCATCACCGCCACCACCATCATCACCATCACCACCACGATCGTCATCACTATCATCATCACAGCACGGCCACCATCACACTTGATCCCTTGTTCTCTCTTTTTTTTCTTTTCCAGTTGAAGCGACGGCATTTCAGATCCAGCTAGGATCGCAGGGGTTCCTTGTTTGGCCTCTCCCTGCAACCCTAGAAGAACCTGGAGTCAGCAGGAGGTGCGGATCTTTCCTGGGTTCACGCTGCGGTAGGCCCTCCAGGGTCTCAGATCCTGGCTCCAGTTTCATTGCTTTTTCCACTGTACCTGTGTGAAGATGCCCAATGATCCGTCAGAAAGTGAAAGAAACAGTAACCATAAAACGTTAAATCATCTTCCTGTTCTAGAGAACAGGCCTCCCCCCGTTGCGCAGTAGGTACAAGCCCAGACCCACCTCTTCAGTTCCGTACTTCCTCCCTGAGGGGCGTAACTCTGGGGATTTCCCCCACCAACACCACCACGTGCTGAAATCACTTTTCTTCCCTTGGAATTCCTCTGCAAGTCACTGCCCAGCAGCAGCGTGGATTTCCTGGGTCTTAAGCATTACAAAACCTCGTCTTTGCAAATCTTCCTAAATTCACCCACATTCCTTTTCGCAGGGAGAGAGGATGGAGGGAGGCTTCTTACATTAATTCTCCTTTCTTACAGCATGCACGTTGTCAAAACACAGGCCCGTGTGAGAAGTGGAAGGAAAGCCCCTTTCTTCCACCTGGCCCCAACCGTCCCACTGCCTGGAGGAACCCCTGTGAACGCCTTTTTCTACGTATTCAGAAATATGTCAACAGAAGTCATTATAATTAGTCATTTTTACTGGAGAAGTCCTGCATGCGCATGGTAAACAACCCAAATGACCTGGAAGTGTGTAAAATGTCAAGTAAAAGTCCTTTGTCCCCATCACCTCCAACTGCCCAGAGGCAGGAGCCGCCAACATGTATATTCCTCCAGAAAAATCTCACTGCATCTTCAAATACATGCATAAAGTTTCAAAATCATTGAATAGGTAACAAATTCACATCGTTCAAAACTAGAGAATGTTCAAAAATGACCCTTGTGAAAAGGCTCTCTCCCATCCCCCCACTTCCACGGGGCTCCCGCTCGCCACCTCCACCCTCAGGTAACCATGTTCCGTTTCTTGCGCATTTTGCTGATTTTCTTTTCGAAAATATAAGCAAGGATAAATGTACATTCTTATTTTGCTCCTTTTTATACAAAAGGTAGCTCTTCCTTTTGCGTTTATTTCCCACAGCAGTAAACCTCGTGTCCCTTTTCCCACGTGTCTGCGAGCCCCCTCCCTCCTGCTCTGCAGTTGCGTGACATCCGCGGCATGGAGTTGCCATCACGTATTTAACCGGCCTCCTGTTCATGGCCACTGAGATTGTGTCTAAAATTCTGATATTACAAAAAAATGCTCAAGTGAACAACTTTGCATATACTGTTTTGAACGTGTGCTGGTGTGTTTGCGGGTTGTTTCACTGGAAGGTGAGTGAGCTTCGAGAGGCAGCCACCACCCT